AAGGAGAACTAAAGCTGATCCACGTGTCTGCTTATTTTTACTTTAATTCAATTTTGCAACCCACGCAACAGAATGAAGCATGCACAGAACTACTGTAGGCTTTAAGATGTTGAGGAATCATTTTTGATGTTTTGTTTTTTATATATAAATATATAAATTATGACAGAAATTCACACTGTCTGATATTTTATTATGGCTGTCTAAGAAACAGTCAGTAGATGTTGGTTTAATAGCGTCACAAAACACCAATTTATGCTTAAATTCCATTCAGTCATTATGTATCCTCCGCAATACTCCACTCATTTTTGGAGACATAGTTGAGCGTGACAGTAATCACTGGAACCTTGTTCTCCTGTTGTTGCAGACTGAAGACATTGTGTTTTCCCCAGTCCTTACTGATGGTATGTTACGTGAAACATCTGATTTGTGATCACCATAACATGTTTAAGAACTTGTTCCCTGATAAAAAATTTAATTCCTAAACACCACCTAATGATTCACTATCCAAGGTGTGTGTTCCGTCAACACCTTGTACTTTGATGAACACGTTCATGCATATTGTATTGAAGAAAAATGTAATGAGCATGCTGTTATTTCCATTGACCAGCTTAAATATGTCAGACCCTTTGATAAGCAATGTAATGAAAGTGAGAGCATGTACATTGATCCACATTGCTACATGTTTTAGAAATTTGTATTCCAATTGTGGTGCACATTTTGAAATAAATGCATTTCAGAAAGCCCTTGTCTCTTTATTAAATGTTAATTTTCCAAGAAATTTCTAAAAGTTCAAAACAATAAAAAATACTCCTTTTTAGAGTTAATTACAAATAACTCTTATGTAGTTAAAAAAAATACTCTGGGGGAGTTAGTATTTTAACTCTAACACCTAGTTAGTGTTAGTAAGTGTTAAATTATGAACTCCAGCAGATTTGATTTTTGACACTTAATTAGCGTTAAGGTACCAACTCTCCAAAAAGAGTTAAATTAACGCTCTCTGGTGTGGACCCATATAGATACTTTAAAAGTGTTGAGATCAAATCTGACGTTGTTAATTTGAGCATGTTGGATTTGTTGTGTACAAGCCACACGCCAACACCAAATGATTGGAATAGTGAATGTTTTTTTGTTACTTTTCTAGATGAGTGTTTTTCTGAACTGGAATTGAACAGGAAGTCCTATTTTTTATGGTTTTGGGGCAAGACATTTAAATTGTTGAATTTACATTAAAGAATATAGTTTTTTTTGTTTGTTTGCTTGTTTTTTGTTTTTTTTTCTTGTCTCAGGTGACACAGAGTGATGGATCCTGGTAAGCAAAGGGAGGAATTTGATCCACCTCAGATGCATTGGCAGAGCCAAGGGGTGGCCAGTGGTGGCCTTGGCCACCATAGATTAATCTTCGGTCACTGGCCCTCACAATCATTTGAGGAAACAATACTTTTAAGCAATATAAAATCTAGAAAACTTCTTCAAATAATAGGGGTGATCAGTTCACATATTTATATATTCCCTCCATTGATTATGGTGACATTATTTACATGAATGCTCCTAGAAGAACCCTGCAGATGTTGGATGCTGTCTATCATGGTGCACTAAGATTCATAACTGGCTGTGATTATCGTACCCACCACTGCACCCTGTATTCACTGGTTAACTGGACATCATTAACTTCACGCAGACTCTCTCACTGGTACATTTTCATTTTTAAATCACTTCTTGGTCTGCTGCCTTCATACATCTCCTCCTACATGTCTCTGTGTGAATGCAGCTACAGCGTGCGCTCTCAGGACATTATTACCTGCAGTGTTCCCTCAGTGAGGACTGAACTAGGCAAAAGGGCCTTCTCCTACTCCGCTCCTGTTTCCTGGAATATCTTACAAAAAGATTTGAAGCTCTCGACCTTGACCTCTCTAAGTGGCTTTAAGAATCTGTTGGACACCTGGCAGGGACCAATGCAGACATGTTCCTGTTTTTAGTTTTCTACATTCGCCTTAGAATCTAGCTGTTTTTTTGTTACCTTTTTCTTTTAGCCATCCTATTTGTAAAAAAAAAAAAAAAAAAACCTGCAGTATTACTTTTTATGATTGTTTATTGTTGTCGCTGTTGTCCATTGTTGTCATCTTTCTTTGTTGAAATCAGTCTCTCTTGTAAATGAGTCCTCGAGGCTCAAAGGGATTTACCTGTCTAAATAAAGGTTGAATGAATATGGTGGTGGCCATGTTGGAGTTTAAAATGGCAACCCAGTCTTTGATAGGAAACGTTCTTACTCCTACATGCACCCAAACACCACAAAGGAAGTTTGCCCATTGCTTAATTATCATTATCATGCTCACAAAGATCTCTCTCTCACACCCCCCCCCCCCCCCCACACACACACACACACACACACACACACGCGCACACACTTTTTTTTTCTTTCTTCAGGGGTCTAACTCGCACAAAGAAACTCGCACAAAGAAAGTCGCACAAAGAAACTCGCACAAAGAAAGTCACACAAAGAAACTCGCACAAAGATTTGGCAATTGTTTTTATGCTGGATGCCCTTTCTGATGCAACCACAGACCACTGAGCTGCCACAGCCATCTGTGTGGAGCAGGGAGCTGCCTACTGGGGTGCCCAGGGGAGCAGAAGGTGGGGGTGAACAGCCTTGCTCAGCGGTCCAGAGTGGGGCAAATGAGGGTTGAGGCAGGTGTGTGTGTTTCACCTTTCCCACCCACATTTTGATGTTTGATGTTGACAGTTTTGCCCTTAGACTGGTAATTGTAGTAGCAAAAGTTTCACAAAAGCCATGTGTCTAAATGCCAACCTCTGTCTTTATGGCACTTTCCACCCTGCTAGATCCACAAAATCTATTCTTGACAGTTGTCCTCAGTCCGTTTTTATCTTTTACATTTAGCAACATATCCACTTTTGTATTTCCACCTAAATGTCTTTTCCAGGATTCTGCGCATTTGTTTATCTGCACATTCTACCAGACAGGGGTCAGTCGCATGACTCAAGCTTCCAGGTGGTTTTCAGCAGAAAAAGTCATGTGCTTTGTTTACATTGAGTGCATACCCACATTTCAGAACTGCGTAACAGTATATATATATGGACTGTATTTATATAGCCCCTTTCTATCTTATCAAGACACTCAAAGCTCTTTACAGAACAATCATTCTTACAGCGCTCTACTAGATCTAAACAAAGCTAATTGAACAAATCATTCTAAAGAAACTAATCAGTTCTTTTAGATCACATTCATACACCAATGAGACACACATCGGAGGCAATGAGGGGTTCAGTGTCTTTCCCAGGAACACTTCAGCATGTGACTGCTGGTGGATTTGAACCCCCAGCTCTTGCATTGGAGGACGACTGCTGTAACTACTCAGCCACAGCCGCCCCATATTATAATAAAAATAATAGTCATTTTATTTAAAAAGCGCCTTTCAGGACACCCAAGGACACTTTACAGCAAGAAACATTTCAGAAAGGTTGTGTAAAAACAAACAACAAGCACAGTGGAAAGATCAACAGGAATAAATTAAATACAAAGTATAAAATACATAAAGCAAAGTTAAGGATAAGCGAGTCTAAAGAGATGTGTTTTCAGAGCAGTCTTGAATAAAGAAAGAGAGGTGGTGTTTCAAAAGTCTGGCGGTAGAGAGTTCCAGAGATGAGGGGCAGAGCAGGTGAAGGCCCTGCTCCCCATGGTGGAGAGGCGGGCAGAGGGTACATGGAGGTGTAGCGAAGAGGAGAATCTGAGAGAGCGAGAGGGGATGGAGATGTGTAGGAGGTCAGATGGGTAAGGAGGGGCAAGGTTGTGGACAGCTTTGAAAGTGAGTAAAAGAATTTTAAAGACGATGCGTGATTTAACCGGGAGCCATTGGAGCTGCTGCAGGACCGGGGTGATGTGATTATAGGAGGAGGATTGAGTGATGACATGGACAGCTGAGTTCTGGACCATCTGTAGCTTCTGAAGAGATTTGTTGGTGAGGCCATAAAGAAGGGAGATGAAGTACTCAATCTGGGAAGTCACAAGACTGTGCACAAGGATGACGGTGGAGCGGGGTGTGAGCGAAGGGCGGAGACGGTTAATGTTTCAGAGATGGAAATAGGCAGACAGAGTAACATTGTTGATGTGTGAAGTGAAAGAGAGAGTGGCGTTGAGGATGACACCGAGACTCTTGACCTGAAGCGAGGGGGATAGCATAGAGTTGTTAAGGGGGATGAGAATATGTTCTGATTTTGAAATGAAGTTTTCGGTACCAACAAGAATGATTTCTGTTTTGTCACTGTTTAGTTGTAGGAGATTGTTAGAAAACCAATGATTTAGCTCATTGAGACAGTCGGTGAGGATGGAGGGTGGGTGGTTTTGTTGACAGGTAGAGCTGTGTGTCATCAGCATAACAGTGGAAATGGACACCAAATGTGTGGAAGATAAGACCTAGAGGAAGGAGGTCAATGATGGAGGAGGGGTCCAAGGACAGAACCTTGGGGGACACCGGTGGAGATGGGGAAAGACTGGGAACGGAAGGATTTAAGCTGAATGAATATATATATATATATATATATATAAACACAAGGAGTAAACTTACTCAAACTGCACTGTTTGACACAGTTCAGGATAATATATTTATTTTTAATGTTTCATTTCCTTGTTTTCAATTAGTATATTTAGCTTAAAATGCTGAAAACACAAGCATTTTTTTTTTTCCTTCCTTGTCAGCTTATACATATTCAGTACTGATTTAGTACTTTTAGTTTTTTTATGCGCGTCACATGTGCACGGCCGGCTGCACAGGCCCTGCCTCCAGAGATGAACCAGCCTCCTGTCGGATTACAGCTTGTGCGCGCGCACAGAGCTTCGCTTCAGTCTGTCTGAACGAGGAAAACGTCGCGTGTGCTGTTCTGCAGGCTGTCACATGGGTCCGAGGAGGAAAACAATCGCTTCCTGAAATGATTCTCACCTCAGCCGTCTCTCCCCTCTCCTCTCTGCCGTAACATCGCATCGTGCGTAATCCTTTCTTTTCTTCTTTTGGGTCCGCGAGAAGAAGGAGGAAGAAGACGAAATCGGTTTGGATGATGATCAGCAAAGTTAAAAACGCCATGTCCAACCTGGTGGGAGGGATGATGCCGCACGGACACCACCACAACCATCACCCAGGTGGAGGAGGCCAGACGTGCGGCCAGGACGGTCTGCCGCCGCGCTTCCCCTACGGCCGCCCGGATTTCTTGGACCTCACCCCGGAGCTCCTGCAGTACTCCACGGAGCACGCGTCACGGCCGGTGCTCACCCTGAAGAGGGACAGCAGGCTCCCCTGGAAGACCGGATATGCAGAGTGAGTGGATCAATGTGGTCACGGAGTCTAAATCGTAGTGACATCTTGGTGAAAATGTACCTGCAGGCTTGATGATGATGATGATGATGATGGGTGATTTTTGTTGCTGCTGCAGCTCTGATGATGATGATGATGATGGTGGTGGTGGTGGTCACAACGGCCTCTTGTGTTCTTGCTGTTGAGTCCAGCCCTGCAGATGCTGAGCAGCATCATGTTTAAAGTGGGATCACACACATTTAGGCTCTTTGAATGCAGCATCACAGGTGACAGACTCATTCTGTGTCTTCAAGACCATGCAGAAGCAGGACGTGCGTTCACTTTCACTTATCTCAACCTGGCTTTGTGTTCCTAAAATGACATTTTCAGTTTCTTGGTGATAGTACCTTTTGTGCATTTGTGTTCACAATGAGGTTGCATAAAGCAGAAGTCGACTGATGTGGTCCTTGTATGGTTGATGCAGATCTTTAGACATCACTACAGCCGATGGCCGGTACACAACATCGATTTTTATTTATTTATTTGCTTATTTGTCAATATGTTCATCTTCATTTAATAAAAATGTAACAATAATTGATTAACTTAATTAAATGTATATACTTGAAGAAGAGCTTGAACACCTAAAAATAAAGCACAGAAGAGCATTTTCAATAAAAAATACCAATAAAATAAATTGTGGATTATGGTGGGCTTGTTGTAGCAGCTGCTACTGCATGTTCAATTTCCTATTGATTAAGTATGTACAGACATTTTTTTTTCTTACAAAGGGACCAACACTGGCTTATTAAAACTGTTCAGCTGATTAATCAGTCTATACTTTACATGATGCATTAACTGTCCATTATATAGAGAAGTGCACAGCTGCACAATATATACATATAAAATAATAGTCACACTATACAAGTGTTTTGCAAGTTTTTAATACAAGTTTTTAATAAGTGCAGTCCAAATGCAGAGCCAGCTTTCCCCTTTGTCAGCCCAGTGCAGTTCATCTTTCTTCATGCTGTCAACTTAAATTTACTGTTAGAGTTCACTTCTGAGGCATCTGTGTGTTTGTTTGTGTGTAAAACCCTCATAGATCAAGTGTGCCTTTTTTTTTATTTATTTTTTTTGCTAAAGAAAAATGCTGACTCATGCAGAAAGTCTCCAGGAGTCAGAGATGAGATGAGATGGCCCCAGAGGACTGAATGAAACCAGTCACCTGAGGTTGTGGTGGTAATACTGGAGCTAAAAGTGAGGCTTTGTATTGGTGAGAATTTGCACAGTTTGTCGTTTAAAGTCGAGTGTTCTGCAGCAAATTAATCTGATGCAAGTCAGTGAAACTGTAAGCGCAAGTAAAAGTGGAGCTAGATGCTTATTTAGTCCATACGTATATACATACAAACAAACATACATATATACACACATGCATACATACATACATGCATGTGTGCATGCATACATTATCTTTACCTGCTACTTCCTTTTCAAATTGCGGGGGTCACTGGTGCCCATATCCAGCAGTCACTGTGTGAGAGACAGGTCTCCAGTCCATCACAGGGACACATAGAGACAAACAACCATTCACTCTCTCACTCAAACCTAGGGACAATTTAGAGTTACCAATCAGTCTAACATGCATGTTTTTGGTGTGTGGGAGGAAACCGGAGTACCTGGAGAAAACCCACGCATGCACAGAGAGAACATGCAAACTCCACCTAGAAAGGCCCCCAGTTGGGATTCGATCTGGCGACCTTCTTGCTGAGCGGCGGCAGATCTATCAGCTGAGCCACGTTACTGCCAGAGTGTAAATATATATATATTTTTTTATTAAAAAGGTGCATCCGGTAAGTGTTAACCCATGACACCAAATGTAATTTCACATAAACAGTAATGACAGTTCAGCCTCTGACACCACAACGTTACACTGCTGCAGAGATTTATTACTGACATCATTTACCAAAGCTGAATCAGTTGTGATGTTCCTGAACTACGGTAGTTGAAATAAGAAAACCTTGGCTCATGTACGCCTGTTGTTCTAATCTTAGACTGATGCGATGGAGCATCTGTTAGCCCAGTTTGTGTTTATTGTTCTTGTGCTGTAATGAGTGGAGACAGAGATGTCCAAACAGTGCAAATGGAAACTGTCCAGTTGGAGACAACCCTGCTGGCCCACATTTAAACTTTGCAACTTCATATTGATGTTCCATCTTTTAGCAGAAGGACACCACGGTGCATTTTCTTGGTCTTGCATCATCATGACCGAGCAGATATGAAGTAGATTTTAATGCTAGTTGCAACACAAGCATGCACAAACTGGGTTTAATTATGAGGAAATATTTAAATCTTTAACGGTGCACTACTTTGCAGAAGCATAAAGTGCACTTGCAGTGTGCACTTGATGTGTTTTTACTAAAAGGCTATTTGTGGTGTTTAATATGCATCCAGGTCATCACACTGACATCGTGCCAGAAAGTTGTGCCAGAAAGGAAACAAAAGCGACCATATTTTATTTGTTTTGGATAATAAAAATCGTTGATACCTTATAGAAAATGGCACAGACGTAAACATTTTACCAGGAGTTTGTTATAAACAGGCTGGGTGATATACCAAGCTCAGAAAATGTAACAAGCGTGCAGAGAACAAAAGATATATAAACTTCTGAGTCCTTTAATGATCACGAAGTGAATAAAAATGTACCTTACTCACTGTATGTTTTTGAACTGAAAAAAATCATATTCTGGATTAATAATCACGATTACAATTTCTTAAATGGAACTATTAGTTTACTTTTTGATGTGGTTTGTAGTTGAGGTGCAGACCAGAGTAATGAAGACGTTTGAAGGCATCGTCTTGAAGTTTTTCATTTGTTTTGAACAAATTGCTAAAATAAAGTTACAATAAACATGATTACACATTAAACTTTTTTAACCACTGATGCTGCATTGGGCTCTAAGATTACGCTAGTGGCAGCTTTTTCTTAACTTGGGTTATATTTGCTCCTTTTTTTTTTTTTTTTTGTTCAGTCAGCTTTTATTTATTTATTTATGTGCTGAACAGCTTCCTCTCCTATAAAAAGAATAAAGAATGACTAATGTAATTTTTCAAACGTTCTCAATGAATACTTAATTTTCGGGTTAGATTTTGTCCCGCCTTCCTCATTCTGTTTGTGAAGCTGTCAGCCTCCGCCTGAAGTAACCTCCCCAAGCAGAACACTGAAATTAGTTTTTGTTGAAGCAGTAAGAGTCAAACACAAAAACAACTCAACTTGGACTCTTAACAACAAAAAAGAAACCATCCAGATGAGCTGACTGAACTTTGTTGGATTTTTACCTGGATTATTGAGCATGAACTTTGATGTTTTGAACCACTTTGGCTATGGCTGCCTGAGAGGAGTTGATGGGGGGGAGAGGGTGGGCCTCAGAAACCATCTTATCACCAGCAAACTGGTTGGTCCACAATGTGAGTAGAGCTGTCATTTCAAACCTGGACCCTGGCCCCCGGCCGACCCGGATTAGGGCTGGGCCAGGCCATAATAATGTGCTTAATGTGCAGGCCAGGTCGGTGTCGGGCTTTTGATTGTGTCAGTGGATGCGCGCAGCTAACGATCCAATTATATGGCAACAAGACTTGCTGTACAATCACCAGCCGCACGCGGCCATTTGACTGCGCATTGACCAGCCTTGAAAGAGGTAAAAAGTTCAGTTATGCTTCAGATGGACTACTGCCAGTGATCCATCACCCCAAATGGACGTTCATTCTGCTGCTGCACTAAGCGGATGCGCGCGGCCGATGACCCAAACAGGTGAGATCACAAAATATCTGACATGTCAGAGCAGGGTCCATGTCTGAATAATGCAGAATGCAGACAGAAGCAGGGATTTAATGTGCTTTGATGGCCATGAAAGTACAAACACACACACACACACACACACACACCCCAGCTTCGATCTTCTACCCCCTTTACTCATCCACGAGCGTCTGCCGAAAGCAATCAAAGCTTAATTAAAAATGTTGAGGTGAGGGGGGACGTGTTTGGGGTTCGGACCTGTAATTACTGTTCATTCGTGGGGTCAGGTGGGGATCGGAAATGATGGCTATGGGCTGGGGCCAGATCGGATGTTCTGGGCCCGAATGCAACTCTAAATGTGAGTGTTCTGCTTGTGGGACTGAGTTTGTTGTGCCTCCTCGGACTGATGAAGTCCTTTGGATGAAGGACGGAAAGTCTCAAGAAAAAAAGAAACCATCCAGATGACCTGACTGAACTTTGTTGAACTCTTAACTTGAACTTAATTCTTTCCGAATAAAACTCTCAAACTAAAACAGTCATTTAAACAAATCTCAGTTTAACATCCACCTCTGAATTACAATCTGCACCAGGAGAGGACATTTTCAAAGGTGTCCTCTTATGAACTAACCGTCCTCACAATAAGAGAATTCACAGGGACTCTCAACTTCTTCTTTTGAACTTTTCTTGCATAAGTCACAGCAGCAAAAATCGAACAGAGAAACACTGATTCACCAGACGTGACCAGTTCGGTTTGTAGTCACAGGTTACGCAAACACATGACTGAAAGAAAGCTGAGTGAAAGAGTTTTAGTCCAGTTTTAGAGAACCTGATCTCCTAGTTTAGTGGGAAACCTTGCACTCAGAAAACAGTCATGGCCATTTAGAGCTCATTGAACTCATGTGACTGTTTCAACACAATTTAGTTTACAGGAAAAAGAAGAAAGAAAAAAATCAGTCTGGTCACATCTCAAAATGTTTATAATAAAAAGTGAGGTTTAAAGCAGAATCCTGTGATCACAGCATGCAAAAAAGCTTGTTCTCTGTATTTGTTTTCAGCTTTCTCCAAATCGCTGAGCTTCAACACAATTTTCTACTTGAATGCTGCCAACCATTCCACATGACCTTGACCAAAAAAAAAAAAAGGCTTGGATTAAGCTCGACTGAAGCTTCAGAGAAGCAAGCAACCTGCAGTGCTGAGTCCAACAAAGCAGGGTGCTTGTGGAATTGCTGTGATCACGCTGCAGAACAGATGAAGAGTTGTTTCACCTCAGCTCTGCGTACAAACATCTGACAATGTCCCGGCCTTGGCAGGAGGTCTAGACGACAATCAGGAGATTTGAAATTCTTCCCAAATGCAGGCAGCTCGGTGCAGGACACTGTGGAGCATGTCCACTGCGTTCAAATGATTGGAATGTGAAAGGGCTGTTTATAAGCTGGCTTTAGGCGACCAATGCATTTTTGAACTCATCTTTTTCCACATAAAATGGATGGAGCTTAAATTTATAGTTTTTGTTCAAGTTCAAAATAGGCCTGTCGCAATAAACAATAAATCGATTAATCGCATGATAAATTAAAATTATCGACCTCGTTTTCATTCATCGGCTTTATCGTTTTTTCGTGACTCTCTCTCTTTCTACCGAAGACACTGGGCAACAAAAAGGCTCAGCTCTGGTGCTCTTCACTGACCCCGCCCTTTCTCTTTTTTTTTCTCTCTTTTATTAAAAATCCATTTTAACCGTCCAAAATTGTGTTTTTGGATTGTTAAAAGCAACTAAGCTACGAGCTAAGCTATCAGGGCAACTTCAGGGAAAAAAACCTTTGTCTTGTCGTAGCTCCAAAATTCATGGTTGAAACCAGTGCCTTCATGTAAAAATTTGTTTTTCTCTGAAAAAAGAAGCTGAGAACTTGTTTACTGATATTTATTATAAGCTTTGTGTGAACAATGCTATGCTAAAGAGCTCAAACCACACCGAGCGTCCACCATTTTGAGAACCCAAAAAAAAAGGAAAGAGAGACAGCCCATGTCACGTCAAGGGGCCTCCCTCCCATTTCTCTTAAATAGACATGCTGCTCGCTCCCTCACTATCCATCCTTCGGTTCAAACAAGCTTATACTGACATCCGGTGGTCGAAAAAAGGTATTACATTCAAAATAAATCAACATTTCTTCTTAAATTTGACAATAATTAGCAATTATTGTCAAATTTCAGGCAATATTATTGTTTATTACAATAATTTCTGAGACAATTAATCACCCAGCAAAATTTGTTAATGTGACAGGCCTAGTTCAAAATGCCCAAGTCTGTTGTGGGCTGAGTTTATCCTCTTTAGTTTTCATTACCAGTCTCTGTGTCTACTGATCTGGTTCTAGTTTCTTCTGTAATTCCTAAGCCTTAACTTGCAGAGATTTCCAGAGGAAACTTGTTACCATCACCTATGTGATTTGGATTGGTGCCGTTTGCACTGTGCTGCATTTTTCCAGCTAATGTGGCATTTATCAAAAATAGAAGCTGAAAATGTTACATAATGTACCAGCATGAGATCCAAACTGCAACCTTTCCAAGTTATCCTCATGTAGCAGCTTGACCATGTGGGTATTTTTATACTGCTGCCAACACACCAAATTCAGCTGTGCAAGTTTGCGTAACATGTATTTTGGGTGCAGATTTTAGTCTTTTTTTTTTTCTTCTTCAAACTGCATTCTCAACTGCCAACGTAAACTTGCAGAAGTTGAACATTTAGCAGCTTTAATCACTATTTTTATTACCCATCATCACCGAAAGGCAAGGCAGACCGTAATGTTTTTGATATTTCCCTCAAGACCTGGTGGAGGAAAAAAAAAAAACTGAGACGAGTGAGTAATGGACTCGTTATCTGGGGGCCAGAAACCTGACTCCAAATGAACACAAATTAGTTTTGTGTCTGCAGGATGTGAAATTGTGCCACGATCTGTTTTTGTGTTGGTGAGATAAGACGATAATATGTCAGCAATGTTTGTTACAGCGTCATTCTGAGCCCATGAAGCATACATTTGATGGCGTATAAGAGTGTGCAGGGATATTTCATCATTTATGAATTCTTTCACAACTCGAATCAAAATGTGCAAACGTCGTCAGAATGAAGATGGACGTTGAAACCAAAGGCCTTCTAAAATCAAAGCTATATTTTGAACGTTTAATCTGCTCTTTAGAACTAATAAATAAATGTATGATGAGGTCGGATATAAAATACAACAGAATTCAACGTGATCGGACACTTTGTTCTAAACTGGTTTCCATACAGCCTTTAATGCTGCTGCTCTGCTCTGATGGTTTGTCTGAACGCTGCTGCAAAGCAAACCAGTGGAAATAATGCTGCATGAATATGAAACTGTGCATTACACTAAAGCCATTATCCTTCCACATCCATCATCTCATGATAAAAACACTTAATCCTTTCTGCAACTTCCCTCTGGGACAGGCCTGGTTTTCTTTCTGACTCACCGTTTGTTTCTCACCTCCGTTTCTCCTGGCTGCTGTTTTTATTTTTTTTAGATCAGAAGAACTCAGAGCAAGCATCATAAATGAGGGAACTCCTAGAATCACCTTTATTCTGTGTGTTCTTCTCCATCAGGGTGATCAATGCGGGGAAGAGCATGCTGAATGAGGACCAGGCCTCGTGTGAGAAGCTGTTTGTGCGGAAGCCAAGCGGGAAACATCGAAACTCCACTCTGCTGGATGACAAGGGGGTGAGGCTGGGAGAAAAATGTGCAGAAAGTGATGCCAAACAACATACATTAGTTTAAAGGTTTATTTTATAAGTGATTTATGGTAAATTTAGGAAAATAAAAACAGTATTTTTTTTCCCATTTAAATACGTTTCCTATTGAAGTGACCAGATGTGTCCTCACATTTTGTTTGGTTCTGATGGACTCACCTTAAATTTGGAATACTTCATTATCTGTGCTGCACTTTAATTTTTTTATCATCATTCCATAACATTTCAGATACATTCAGCTCCTTTTTCCAATAATTTGTGATTTTAACAAATAATTTTCCCTTGTGCTCTTACCATAAGTACCACATTCTGTAGTATTACTTTTCTGAGTGTACAAAATATATTTGTTAGTTTTCTTTTTCCTGCAATCAATATTCATTCAACCTTTATTTAGACAAGTATATAGTTTTGACCACTGAAATAGAAACACCATGACTTTTTTTTACTGATAGCACTAGGTGAGATTTGTGGCAGCCATCTTGCTAGGTGCTACTCCCATCCCTGTGTATTGTTTAGATGGGGTAGAGGCAGGGCAGCTGACTCGGGACCCGAAAGTCCCAGGTTCGATCCCCAGCCATTCCCATATGTCGCAGTGTCTCTGAGCAAGACACCTAATCCCTAATTGCTCCCCGGGCTGCTCAATAGCAGCCCACTGCTCCACCCGGGTGTATCCCAGGTGCGATGGGTTAAAGCTGCTCCACCCGGGTGTATCCCAGGTGCGATGGGTTAAATGCAGAGAACTAATTTCATCATTGTATGGGAACATACAATGATGACAACACATACCACTTATTATTATTGTTATTATTATTATTATTATTATTAAATGTCAAATCCACACATTAACACATTTTGTGTGCTGAATGCTGTCACCTGTCTGGAAAACAAAAAAACAAAAAAACGAACAAGCCTTATTTGACCTAAATGAATCTATCATGCATATTATAAAAACGGGGAGAAAGAGTATTCTGTAATCAGGGACCTACCAAGCCTGAACATTCACTAACAGCAGCAAAACACCAACCCAGTGCACATTAATACCAAGATAAAATTACACTTCCTAAACTGTCATTGTAAAATAAACTTTAATCTTTGCAGTTTCTTCTTCTGTCCTAAATGCAACCAACTGGTAATATGACTTTACTGTTGCAATTGAAAAATTAATTTCCTGCAATATTTTTATGACAAGATGTTACATTTTTACTTACTGGGGTCATTTTTTTATTTATTTATTTACATCTTCCAGATGGTGTCTATTTTAAAGACTTGCACAGAAATAAGCGCACACACACACACACATTTTCACATCCTCCATTTGGTGTAAATGAATGACATCATCTCTTGCTGTGCCCTTCCCCCTCTCGACTGTACATCAGAGGGAAAAGCAGATGCCTTGTGCTTGTTTACTTGTCAATCAGTCGGACTAACTGGGCCTGTGAACTCAAAGGTGGCAGCATCTTTCCACTGTTTACTGTATCCTATGGAAGCAGCAGAAGCCCTGAGGAAACGTTTCCTTCCCTCCCTACGTCAGCACTAATTTCACAGAGCACTTTCTTTGTAAAACACAAACTGTTATACCACTAAACTGGAATATTGCTCTTTAACACATGTTATTTTTGCTAAACTTATTTATAAAATGTAATGTCTGTTTTAGGATGGCACAGGAATCCCTCTCCACTTCTGGGGCGTGTTTGATGGACACGCAGGTTCTGGCGCTGCCATCATGGCCTCCAAGCTCCTTCACCGCCTCATCAGAGATGGACTTGGGGAGATCTGCCACCTCCTGGAGAACCCCAGCAGCAATCCTCCCATCTGCTTGGCCAAGAACGGCAGCCCCTACCAGGCGGAGGCTAAGAAGGGAGCCACGCAGGAAGCAGAAGACCCTGATGCCGTCTGCGACTCCTCGGTGCGCTTTCACATGGAGAAGGTCATCAGTCTGGAGAGCTTGGTGATGGGTGTCATAGAGACCGCCTTCAAACAGATGGTGAGAAGTTAAACTAGACTTTTAGCTTACTGGGAAGCCACATCATTGATGCAAAAGACACAAAAGAAAAACAGCAGAAAGATGTATCATTTTAACTTATTTCAATACATTTTTACATAATAGCATAGCTGTAGGGAAGCCAGTATCAATTACTTGTTTTGACTTTTAATCCCTTTTTTAACAGATTTTTAAACAGCGTATAGTCAAAGCCTATTCAATAAGTGGCCTGCAAGCCAGATGCCGCTCTTTAAAATTTCTTTGGCCCCCATAAAGCTGATCAGACAACAACATCAAGCAGCTTAATCAACGTTGATTCAACATGTCTGCTGGCTTCTTTAGATAGAGAACTTTACTACTGTAATTGGCTTTTCTGTGGATATTCCTGTAAAGTGTCCTGAGACAACTTTGTTGTGATATGGCGCTATATAAATAAACTTAATTGAATTAACCTAATCTAACACTTGTTGATGATGTTATGTTGACAAATGAGTTGTAACTATCACACATAATCTCATGCAATATCACAATATGTCATGCTCAAAGTATGTTTTGTGAATGACCCTCAGCTACCACCACATTAAACTTGAGCTTGATGTCTGTTAAACTGAGTGATTAGTGTTCGTTAAGGTTAATGTGGCGGCCATCTTGAACTGGATTGACTCTAAAATGCATCAGGTACATGCACAGCCAATGATATGTGATATGTGACTCTCTATGCTGCTGATTATCAATGCTGCTGATCTCTTGCCTTTATGCTGCTGTATTCATACCCATCTACTCACTACAGACTCCAGTTCGGGCTGCTGTTTAATGTACCGTATGATTTTACATTATTAGTGTTTACCGTATCGTTAACGTCTGGCTTAGATCCTTATGTACTGTTTATTTTCATACTTTATATTTTTGCTATTTTTGGGTTTAACTGGGACTCGAGTACATGATTTCGTTCCACCTCATCTACCACATGTGATGCAAATGACAATCTTGAACCTTGAATGATTACTTTCTAAAAGTTTCATTAGAACCTGTACAGTCATGAGGTAGCCATCATGCTAAAAGACAAACAGTTGACTCAAAATAGTTATGGACAAAGCTTTAACAATTCTAACCAATGTAACACACACACATGCACACACATTTGGGATGGACTATCGTAAAGCTTTTTACTCAGGGTTCTCAGAATCCAAAAGATGACAGTGATTCAGGTCTTTTCACTTATTAATTCTAACTCTGTTGAAGTTTGTACAGACCTTCATGTTTCTCACAGAACATTGAATGTGTTGCTCTGCAGCCACGCTGAGCTGCAGGCATGGCAGACGGTTTATTCTAGATGTCTTCATGACAAATAAGCTGAATCTGCCCCCTCTGTAAAGCTCAAACAGTGTTCTTCTGGTTTAGATGTAGACATGTCGGAGCTTATGTAATGTTTTCTTCAAAGCCTCTTTGTTTTTGTTAATTTTTACTGCACTTCTTTAGATTTTTGTTCATAAGCTCAGGCTGCTTATCCTTGTGCTCTCACGCTCGTTTTTTCTCTTTCTTTTCTCAGGATGATTTAATTGAGAAGGAGAAAACGTCGTATGCCATTTCGGGTGGCTGTTGTGCCTTAGCTGCTATTAATTTAATGGGGAAACTGTATGTAGCCAACGCTGGAGACAGCAGGTGAGGAGAATGTGATTTATGCTTTTTGTTATAGTTGAGGTTCATCTTACACTTTGCATCATCATACAAAATGATTTTTCATGCATCCTTCATGTTAACAAAACTGTTGCTGTTTCCTTTTGGTCTTTTTCTTTCCTTTTCTCTCTGCAGGGCCATAATCATACGAAATAATGAAGTCATTCCCATGACTAATGAATTCACACCTGAGTCAGAGAGGCAGCGGTTACAGTATCTGGTATTTTGTCATGATACTTGATGCATTTAGACTTTTTTTACTGCCAGTTGCATAAACTGACTTCATACTGTCATATTAAAACAGTGTGTAAGTCCAGTTTTACTGTTAAATAAAGGCATGTTCACTGGTTGCCTCTTTTAGCAGCTGTGTGGGTCTGAGTCATAATGTGGGTAGAAGGTGTTTGCTGCTAAAACAGGGAGCTGTGTTTTTGCACTGCTGGGTGCTATCACACATGCAATCCTATTACCTATTTCAGTTTGTTTTTTTTAAACTGTGACAAGAAATGTTTTGTTCTCTTGTTTGATTCAACCTTTCTGTTTTTTGCGCAACACTCCAGGGCTTCCTGAGGCCAGAACTCCTGGGAAATGAGTTCACTCACATTGAGTTTCCTCGTAGGATCCAGCACAGTGAATTAGGCAAGAAAATGCTCTACAGAGACAGCACCATGACTGGATGGTAAACCTTAAACTCTTTGTAAAACACAGTTCTGACAGTTAATGAGAGAAAGCCCAGAATTAGGTACAGTAGTCCCTCGCTTTTTGCGGATGTTGGGTTCCAAACCCGCCTGCAATAAGTGAAAATCCACAAAGTAGCGACGTTATATTTATATATTTTAAGGCTTTATAAACCCTTTCCACACTCTTGCTCTAAACTCTTACACCTATGTCATATTAACAGCATACGTACAGTACTGTATATGTAGCTACTAAATTTTACTCACCAGGCTCTGCAGAACAGGAGCGGCTTGGTTCCGGTCTGACCTGAGAGATGAAAAAAGTCCTGGTGGGCTCCAGATGGAGCGCCGGATCAATGGCAGCACTTCCCCACTTGGAAGTCCTTGTGGGCCGGCTAGGATCTCTCAGGTTCACCACTGAGTCTGGGAGTCCAATTCTGGTTCTGTTCAATGCAACCCTTGAGCGCAGAAGCGCATTTTGTGGGTGGGGAGACCTTCGGTTGGGCGGCGCGGAACCGGAGGTGGTCGATTGAGTCCAAGTCTGGATGAAAAAAGTCCCGATGGGCTCTGGAAACAGCACTGAACCTACAGTGGTGCGTCCACGCTTGAAAGTCCTTTGGGCCGGCTACCAGCTCTCAAGATTCACTGATGGGTCTGGAAGTCTGATTCTGCTCCGGTTCTGCTCCGGTTCGGTGGGTTACGTGCGTCTCTCTGCATCTGCTGGACACCGAAGTCACTGTAATAAGTGTCAAACTTTTTCCGATCGGATCGTAACTTTCCCTCTACAGCAGAAGGATACGGGGCTTCTGGGCAGGGCACTGTTGACTTCTGGGAAATGTAGTCATTATGAGCGGAAATACAGTGTAGGCATATTGAGAGAAAACTACAAAATTGTGGCACCTGCCCGAAGTATTTTATTTTTTTACATTAATTACTGTATCAGTACTGTCCCAATCACGTTAGTAATATTAACATTGACAATCATGTCCTGTAAAATGTTTTTTAATATGTTAATATGCGTTGACAAACCATGATATAGCGAGTCTGCTAAAGTCGAACCGCAAAGTAGCGAGGGACTGCTGTATTCAGTGTTTCAGAATAGTTTGTCTTTTCTCTATTATAAATCATTTTACAAAGCTTCCCTTAACAATTTAAGTACAGTATAGGAATATATCTACCTAACTATATACAGTAAATAATCAATCATAATTTTAAAAGCAAAGTTGACATAAACTTATTTTTCAAATGATATTTCAAATACCTACATATTCAGTTCACAATAATATTGTATTGGCAAATGCAGCTAATGGCATTTTTTTCTGAGGCCCAAGTTTCTAAAAGCTTAGTAATTGGCTTTGAATGTAAAATATAACGTTATTATTTTGTTTATTAACTAATTAATAACAGTATTACATTTTCCCTAAACAATCTCTGTGCTTCCCAGCTAAAATGTATTTGCTGTCTCCTTGTTGGTGTTGCTTCAGGGCTTATAAGACAATCGTGGAGGACGATCTGAAATTCCCCCTCATATATGGAGAGGGGAAAAAGGTAAGAAACGTCTAAATGCATCTCACAGCCATAACATTCTGACCATTAAATACCAGTAATACGGACAAACTGTAAAACATGCTACACTAAATACCTCTATAGCTAGACTTTTGATACTTTTAGCTAGCTTTTTGCTAATTTAGTTTTTACATGGCTGTTTGTTACTTTTAGCAACCAATTTGCTATGTTTAGCTTTTGTCATACTCCTTTTAGGTTTTAGATAATATTTTACTCAATTTATGTTTAATAATTATCTTCAGCTTCTTCCTCAAATTCACACATTTTTGCAGAAAATGCAGTTTCTTTAGTGTATTTGGATTTGTTTTAAGTTTTCTGATTCTTCAGGTCATTTGATAAAGGCTTCGTCTGCCTGAACAGAAGTGAAATCTGCTCAGTATTTTCATTATTTTTTTGGAAGAGCACGGTCTTTTCTTCATAATCCTACATAAGTGGATTTTTTTGGGGGAACTGAAGCTCATCCTGGAGCAAAAGTTTACTGTGCATTATGTGAGTTTGTGTGTGTGTGTGTGTGCTCTAACTGTGTCTGTTGGTGTGTACAGGCTCGTGTAATGGCAACCATCGGGGTGACCCGAGGACTAGGAGATCATGACCTGAAGGTGTACAACTCCAACATTTACATCAAGCCCTTCCTGTCATGCGTGCCTGAGGTGAGTCAGTGCTGCCTGAGGACTCAGCTCCAGGTCGCTGCTTTTGATGCTTCAATGCATTAAAATTACAATCAAATAGCTGTTGGGCCCTAAGCTTTACTATTTAGTTTCACACGGAGTGATATTTTGTGGCAACGCCTGAAGCACTGCTTCAGTTTGTGATTTTCTAACCTTTTACAAACTCATTTCTTTTTAAGATGACTCTATTAGGCTTTGGTTTCCATGCTGCCATTTTGCAAGGGAAGGCGTTTGTCCTCAGACGACAGTTTCCATGTGAGGTGTAATAAACAACCACAGACGACCACTGAGTGTCAAATTAAAGTAGCAGCATCTCAGACCAAAACAAACTGAACCCAAACCAAACATGAAATCTCATGTGGAGCCTCTCAGCAGCTCAAAGTCTCTTCACTTCTCAAAACCTGCTCTAATATTGACTCTGGTTTTTAGTCAAGTATTGTATGTTGTTCTGCAAAGGAAAACAATATTTTTTTCACATTTTGAGCCTCCTGGGTCAGGCTCACGTGCACTATTACATTCAACAGAACCTGCAGAGGATGAGTGTCTGTTTGCTGCTAAGAATGCAGTTACACCCTTTTGCACAATAATAGGCTGCGTGCTAATAAATGTTCAGTGTGATATGTATCCTTTAAATCTATGTAGCAAAACAAGATGATCATTGTTGTGTTTTTACATGTGAGTGGATTTATTGTAGTGTTACTGCCGCATCAAATACTGTAAAACATATTTTAAAAAGTCCAAAACGCCTTATATATAAACACATATTTAAAACTTAATTCCATTTAAAGGAGTTTACAGAACATAAAAGAAACCGAAACCTTTAAATATGAATCTACCTCCACACTGTTTTCATGAGGTTGAAGGAAGTGAACTTTCCCCTCATCTCAACCTCAAGCCGACAGCTAAAGGCTGCAAAAAGCCACAACTAGCTAACGTTACCGGAATATCAGCTTTCTGCTGTGGACCGTGTCGGCATTTGACTGCATGGAATTCAAACGATGACAAAAATGATATCACTGGAATGGTTTTGAGCTGTTTTCAAACACAGAACTTGATTTATGTTTACCACTAGACATGCACAGCTGTTTCTTTTCTAACGGACAGACTAGGAAGCACAACACTGCATCATTTTTAATACCCTGCTTGGCTCCAGCTGGACCCATCTGTACCTTTCCAGATCGCTTCTGTACCTTGATTACTTTATGTAGGAAATAGAGATTGCCTAATCCTTCATGACAAATAAAAATACAATTTGTTTTAACCTGTAGGTAAAGGTTTATAACCTGGATGAAAATAAACATGGCCCAGACGATGTCTTGGTCATGGGCACAGATGGACTGTGGGACGTAACAACGGACAGGGAGGTGGCAGACGCTGTGTCAGCCTACCTAACAAGCTGTGACCCATCTGATCCCATGAGGTACAAATGTTCCTAAATATTTTTTTTCCATTATATTGCCTCTCTCTGGAGTGAATTCAATAATGTTTTGGTGTGCTGTACCGTGTTGTCCTATAGATGGCAGCAAATTAGAAGCTATATTGCAAAATTCTGCCTGTACAGTTTTATCAATTATTTGGTTTGCTGCATTGAAGTTTTATACATGTTCATATGCAACAAATATGTTACACTACTTTTGTGCAGTTAACGTGAACATGCAAATTATTGTGTAGTTTAACAATTGGTAAAGTATTGCCTATGTTATGGCAGAATATTACAAAACTATATAGGGATTTTTACTACTTGTTTGTTGTATTGGTGAGGCAGTGGATGAGCGGTTAGAGCAGTTGTTTTCCAATGCAAGAGCTGGGGGTTCGAGTCCACCAGCAGTCACATGCCGAAGTGTCTTTGGGCAAGACACTGAACCCCTCATTGCCTCTGATGTGTGTCCCATCGGTGTATGAATGTGATAAAGCACTGATTATTCTTTGCAGAGATCTAGTAGAATGCTGTATGAATGAGTAAATGAGGGCACAGATTGTGCTGTAAAAAGCTTTGAGTATCTTGATAAGGTAGAAAGGTGCTATAGAAGTACAGTCCATTTACCATTTGTTTACTAAATGAATTATTTAATATTATAGGCTTTGGATTTCTTGAAGGAATGCATGTTGGCACCTTTCTCATCAGTGTTTTAGTGTTTTCTTCTAATGATAAGGGGTGGAGTTATATACATTTTGATCAAAGCTTAAATAAACATTATGCTCAGTACGGCTAGATTTAACGTGATCTTGCATGATCTGGTATCACTTGTAAGACGTGTTGTTAACCCACTGAGTTTTTAGCATTTTTACATCAGCTAAGGTTGATTAGCTATTTTAAATTGGGTTGGCTCCAAATGTTAATTAGTTGTCCAACGTAGTTCAGTTAGGTCATCTGGATGGTTTCTTTTTTTTTTTTTTGAGACGTTTTGTCCTTCATCCAAAGGACTTCATCAATCTGAGGAGCCACAACAAACTGAGTCCCTCAAGCTCTGACAGCCTCAGAGGAGTTGACGGGGGAGATGGCAGGTCCTAGAAGCTACTTATCACCAGCAAACTGGTTGGTCCACTGGGTGGGGGTGCTGCTTGTGGGACTCAGTTTGTTGTGGCTCCTCGGATTGATGAAATCCTTTGGATGAAGGACAAAATGTCTCATCCAAAAAAAAAAAAAGAAATTGTCCAGATGGCCTGACTGAACTTTGTTGGATTTTCTACCTGGATTATTGAGCATGAACTTTGATGTTAACTGGTTACATAAGTTCAGTTATCTTGATGCATGCTCAATAATCGAGGTAGAAAAATCTAAAAAAAAAGTTAAGTCTGGTCCTCTGGACATTAAAAAAAAAATAAAAAAATTGTAGAAACGTTTCGTCTTTCATCCAAAAGACTTCTTCAGTCTGAGGTGCTGTATTCAGCTCAGTCTTATAAATAGCACCTTCTCATAGTGGATCAACCAGTTTGCTGCTGACAACCAAAACACTGTGCTACCGATCCATCGTTAGGCTGATGGTCCTCCTTGAACATGTGAGCAGCTGGTTTTGGTTGTCAGCAGCAAACTGGTTGATCCACTTTGAGAAGGTGCTATTTATAAGACTGAGCTGAATACAGCACCTCAGACTGAAGAAGTCTTTCGGATGAGAGACGAAACGTTTCTACAATTTTTTTGGTTTGTTTTTTGAATGTCCAGAGGACCAGACTTAACTTTTTTAGATAAGTTCAGTTAATAATTACTTCATTCAAATCTGTCACTTGTTCATGAGATATTTTGCTAACAAACAGACAAAGTTGATTCCAACAAAGTTTTAACCAGAGATCTTTCGTGATCTGTGACAACAACCATCTTGTGTTATGATTTCTGATATTTTAAATGCATCTACTGGGATAGAAAAGTAGCAATAAGTTTGGTTTTAATTTTAAATTTATTTTTTTAATCTTAATTTAAAATTAGGTTGAAACCAGCTATTGCATGATAAAAAGATCCACCAGCTCATAAGATATCAGACATTTTTTGCTGAGTATGAGAGTATAGTACATTTTGTTGACACTGTTTATGTTCTCTACCCTTCTGTGTGTGTGTGTGTGTGTGTGTTGTCCAGATACACACTTGCTGCACAGGACCTGCTGATGAGGTCACGAGGTGTGCTGAAAGAGCGCGGCTGGCGGCTACCCAATGACAAACTGGGCTCGGGCGATGACATCACCGTATTTGTCATTCCTCTGGCAGGGCAAGAGTCAGAGACTTGAGGAATTTTCTTCGTGCCACCAGCTTTGACAGAACTGACTCTTTCGGGTCCTTCCTGTGGCACCCCCAAGCTCCCTAAACCCCAGAAGGATTAGGCGGTGGGAGAGCAAGAAAACAACAACACGGCTGTCTTTGAAAAGATTTGGGTCTAAGCAGCACTTTAATTGACTCTCTCTATCAGACCCATTTCTTTCATTTCAGTTTGATGAGTCTCCCATCACCTTTGGATGA